AAAGTACATGAAAACAATGTAATTTTATAAGCAAATATTGTTTCAGGTAGCTTCCAATTCTGTATACGCAATTCTGTATTCACAGGCAACTCTAAAAACCAAATCTACCCTGTACAAATGAGAATAAAGATATATTGAAATTAAAAAAAAAAAAAAAGAGTATTTCTGTGTTATAGTATCCAGCTGTATGCTTCGAAAGCTTTTAGTCAGTATAAATATTGATGCAGGAGGAGACAACATCTCTAGGTATTATAAAATTTATTTGTATCTCTAAAAAAGAAGCAGTGAGCTGGCAGGAGTTTCATGTGCACACCTAAACAGATTTGTTAACTTGGCCACAGTGTATCAAACAAACCATATAAATACTCAAATTCTTTGATTGAAATTCTGTACCAGTAGAAGGAAAATCACTTAGGAATTAACCCCTCTGTGACTTTTTAGTTATTAAAATATCTTTTTAGAAAAATATATGATGATAACCAGAGAAAATGCTTACATTCTCATGTTAAGAATAAAAGGATACAGGCTTACATAGATAAATATAGTCACCAGGCTTTATAAACATATAAAATTCTTTATCCTCAGAAAGCAGTTTTTTCAAAAATGAAAAACACTTTACTGAAAATATACAATGGAAGATCAGACTGTTAGGAACAGGTCCATCAGCCTGTACTCATGATTTCAAAATCCAAGCTGTGAAAACTAAGTTTGTTTATAATTCATTTGACAGTAAAGGACAGCTTGAAACAATATGAAAAGAATCAGAGTCTATCTCATTTGGCATAAATATTCTTGTATTTCATTGCCAGGTACTGCTTTGTTTGATTTACAGGTTTATGTGCCAGAGCTCACAAGGTATGTTAAGTGAGGTACAATCTATGAACTTACTAAAATGGACAATTTTCTATATTCTCAGATACACCCCACTCCTAGAATTTCAGTTAAGGTACTGTGAATCTGTAACTTTTAAAATCGATTCTTTCTTTTTTATCTGTAAAAAAGGTTTCAGATTTGTAATAGAAAACTATAGTATAGCCTTTATTAAATTATATTTGCCAGAGGATAAATGAGTGAACAGGACATAAAAATGGAGATTTATGGTCTTTTTTGAGGTCAGTTCTTCGTTACAAAAGTTACATGCTATAATTTAACTTATATTACTCAATTATTTCAAAGGGTCTTAAAATATTCCACTGTATAAAAAAAATTTCTTAATATATCATTACCACTTTTCCAGCTTTCCTGATGGTTTGATATTTGGAAGGATTAATAGTTTTAGTTGATTTCTTCGTTTTTACTTTATCTAAAACTGCATAAACAGCAAAACATAATCGAGCCATTCTTGGTAGGTCGCAAGTATTAATATCAAATTCCAGTGGTTCATTCCAAATGTGATCATTTTTCCCCGATATCTCTGAGCTTACGATGGTTTTACACAGGAGCTCAGTACCGTGAAAGAGACCAGCTCTGACGTGAACCTGTACCACAGGAGACAAAAACAAATACAGAATTATGGATATTACACCACTGAAATACATCTGTTTTGAAAAATGAAGAAACACATAAAGGAAGAAAAAGCACACTAATTCTTGGAAAGCCTATTTGTACATAAAATGACCATATTGAGTTAATCAGTACATTGTTCATTTAAAGTGTAATTAGTTTAACCTGCTTTATACTTATTAAATAGAACAGCTACAAAAGTCCACACTGGTCCAAGTGACAGGGGCCTCAAAGAGAAACCAAGATAATAAGTAAAAAAAAATTACTACCATATGCTTATTTCTACCAACTTCATTTACTTAGGGCTTGCCTCATTCTTCTGTGTGATGGGCTATGAAGGAAAAGATGAGTAGACACCAAAGTCTCTTTCTTCTTCTAACTAATTTATTAATATAATTCATAATTATATTTATAATCATATATACTATTATAATATATATAATTACAATATGGGAGCTCTGGTAGCATAGTGGCTAAGACACTTGACTGCTAACCAGAAGGCTGGCGGTTCAAACCCACCAGCCACTCCTCGGAAGGAAGATGGGGCAATCTACTTCCGTAGTGATACTGCCTCGGAAACCCAAGGTGGGGTCACTATGAGTCAGGTCCGACTCGACGGCACATAACAACAACAACAACAATTACAATATATATTGTTCATAATTATATTCATAATTATTAACTCGATACGCATTTAACAATATGCTATAAATTTAATCCCATAGATATAAAACAAGATGCCCAAAATCAATCCAAAATTCATTCAATTTAATGACAACACGAGTAGAAATAGAAATTAAACATTCAGGCTTTTCTCCATATTTTTAAACTGGCAGTTTTATGATTACGTATCTATAGCTTTAAACAATCTTCTTTAAGTACACGTCTCCAAACTAGTTTAGATGTTATTTCCCTTGTGTTCTCAGAAATTAGGCAAAAAGTCTGGGGACTTCAATTTTAAGTTTGTACAGACTGTGAATTAAAAAGAACAATTACAAAGGATTTACATACAGACCAGCACTTTCTGAAAATCTCTGAATCTACAAAATATGTTATACCCAAGGTATCTAAATGCTAAGAAATTAATAGTACTAGTATTTTTAATAGCCGACATGGGCCCCTGGAGAGAATAAGGGAAAGCGTATCAACAAACATTTTATTTCTCATTTTTCTAATTATTTTGTAAACAAAATGTTAATTGCGAATAAAAGCCATAAAAAAATTAAGAATCTCCATCATCAAGTTTTGTATCACATTTAGATGAAGTCTTTCAAGGCTGAAAAACAGCAATTTCACAGCTTTAAATACATTAACAAAAATGCTGTATAACATTCTATTATTTATTTTGTCTTCTGGAGTACTAATGTAAGGTAAAACTTCATTATCACAAAATATAATGAACATTCTATACCTTGAAATTTTCATTCAATTAAACTAAACTTGCATAAACTAACAATTAACTCTGCAAAATTAATTGTGAAGATAGAGAGAGACAGTTCTGCATAGGTACATAGAAAACAGCTTTTTCAGACAGACCTAAATTTGAACCCTGGCTCTATTACTTTCAAATGTTATGACCTTGGGCAATGTCATCTCATGAGATTTTTTTTTTTTTTTAAATGAGAGTAACTGAACCTACCTAACAAGGCTGTTCTGAGGCTTACATGAAATGTTGTTGTTCTCGTTAGGTGCCAACAAGTTGTCTCCTACTCATAACGACTTTAGGTACAACAGAATGAAACACCGCCCAGTCCTTCCTGTACCAGCCTCATGATCCTTGCTGTACTTGAGCCCATCATTGCAGCCACTGTGTCCATCCACCCAGTTGAGGGCCTTCCCCTTTTCTGTTGACTCTCCACTTTACCACATATGATATCCTTCTCCAGAGAATGGTTCCTTCTGACAACATGACCAAAGTAGGTGAGACAAAGTCTGGCCATTCTCACTTCTAAGGAGCATTCCGGCTGCCCTTCTTCCAGGACAGACCTGTTGGTTCTTTTAGCAGTCCATGATACTTGCAGTACTCCCTGCCAACACCACAACTCAAAGCATCAACTCTTCTTTGGTCTTCCTTACTTATTGTCCAGCTCTCACAAGCATATAAGGCGACTGAAAATACCATGGCTAGATGCACACCTTAGTCTTCAAGGAGACATCTTTGCTCTTCATCACTTGCAAGAGGTCTTTTGCAGCAGATTTGCCCAATGCAATATGTTGTGTGATGTCATGACTGCTGCTTCCATTGGTGTTGATTGTAGAACCAAGTAATGTGAAGTCTTTGACAACTTCAATCTTTTCTACATTTATCATGAAGCTATTTACTGGACCAGTTGTGAGGGTTTTTGTTTTCTTTATATTGAGGTGTAATCCATACTACAGACTGTAGTCTTCAATCTTCATTAGTAAATGCTTCAAGTCATCCTCACTTTCAGCAAGCAAAGGTGTGTTGGCTGTAGATTGTTAATGAGTCTTCCTCCAATCCTGTTGCCATGTACTTCTTCATATAGTCCAGTTTCTTGGCTTATTTGCTCAGCATACAGATTGAATACGTATGGTGAAAGGATACAACCTTGACATACTCCCTTCCTTTTAAATAATGCAGTATCCCATTGTTCTGTTCAAATGACAACTTCCTGATCTATGTATAGGGTCCTCATGACAATTAAATGTTCTGGAATTCCCATTCTCCTCAATGTTATCCATAATTTGTTACAATCCACACAATCGAATGTTTGCATAGTAAATAAAACACAAGTAAACATCTTTCTGGTATTCTTTGCTTTCAGCCAAGATCAATCTGACATCAGCAATGATATCCCTTGTTCCACGTCCTCTTCTGAATGCAGCTTGCATTTCTGGAAATTCTCTGTCAATATACTGCTCAGACAGACAAGTCCACCTTACTTTAGCTATTCCAAACCGCTCCACTCACTTCCTGGTCTCTTCCTGGGTGAAACCCCCAAGACAATGGCACCTAGTCATCCTTCAGACCTGGAACTGAGCTTACTTCTGTGGCTTCCAACCAAATGATGGATAGGCCTAGAAGGTGAACAATTACATGAAGTAGGTACACTCCTTAAAGCAATAAACCGTGGGAGATCAGAAGGGCAGGATTTACACAGGGAGAAAGCTCATAGATAGCTTTCATAGGAAAGAAAGACACAGGGAAAAGGTAGCCACAGGGAGGAAGTGGGAAGAGAACTGTTATAGTAGGGGAACTACAGCCTTCACTATAGATTACACCTCAACATAAAGAATATAAAATTCCTTACAACTGGATTAATAACCAACATCATAGATAAATGGAGAAAAGACTGAAGTTGTCAAGGATTCTCTTTTACTTGGATCCACAATCAGTGCCCATGGGAGTGGAAATCAAGAAATCAAATAACATGCTGCACTGGGCAAACGTGCTGCAAAAGACTTCTTAAAAGTGTTAAACAGCAAAGATGTCACTTTGAAGACTGAGATGCACCTGACCCAAGCCATAATATTTTGAACTGCCACATTATGCATGTGAAAGAAAGATCAAAGAAGAGTTGATGCCTTTGAATTTTGGTGCTGGGAAAAAATATGAAATGTACCATAGACTGCCAGAAGAATAAACAAATCTGTCTGGGAAGAATTACAGCCAGAGTGCTCATTGGAAGTGAGGATGGTGAGACAATTATCAGGAGGGACTAGTCCCTGAAGAAAGACATCATGCTTAGTAGTAGTACAATGTCAGCAAAAAATAAGAAGACCCTCAACATGATGGATTGACACAGTAGCTGGAATAATGGACTCAAACATAGAAAAGATTGTGAACTTGGTGCTGGATGAGGCAGTGTTTCATTCTGTTCTACACAGGGTCATTATGCATTGGAACTGACTCAATGTTGCCTAACAACAACAACAAAGTTGTTCATTTAAAAAAGCCATCTGTCTCGCAGATTCCTGGGGCTTAAGAACACGTTCTGCTTTCCAGCAACCCCAAGGACACTAGGGACCTGCAAGATGGGAGTTGGGAGGTGGGGTGGGGAAGAGGGCAGGTGATCATGGTAGGACTTTTTCCTTGTTTCAACAATCATGTTATATTAATTGAAAACAATTAATTTAGAAAATTAAAATTAAAAAATGAAATTACCACTAAAACAAAAAAGAGGCTAATTAGGCATAAGCACATTCATCAAAAAGAACAGTCTAGCTGAGAATATAAGAGCAAAGGCCCTTATTTCAATGATAGCTGACCAAAGAATCTTTAATGTCAATGTACAAAAGCAAGCCATTGGTGATTTTTGGCAAGGTACTCCCGAATATATTATCATGCCAGTAAACACTGAAAACTAACTGAATCTCTTTATCTTGGATCACAAAACTATTCACTTAATTTCCTGCCAAACAAAATAGGGGAAATGCATGCTTTACACTTTCAGAGAAAATGCCTTGTTAGGTCTTTATTTAATTATACAGGGTTGTGCAATAAATTCCCATGTGCTAACAACTTGTGGTCTATAATGTCATCTATTTTCTTACAGGAAATGATATTACATTTTCTCAGTGTTCAGCAAGTTTAAGAGGGAAAAAAAAAAAACCAAACTGAGAGAGGAGTCCGAATACAGCTCTGAGCAAGGCTAAGAGAGGAGGTTAAGTTTGCATAGGAATATGCAAGCCCTAGGTTTAAATTTCACTTGCTGAATTTCTGATCCAAAATATACATTTCTTTTCTAAATAAAAGATACTGGAAAAATAATGTAAATCTTGCCAACAAACTGCTAACTATCACAAGACTACTTTAGAACAAAAATTTTCAATAGTCTTACAGTAAAATGCCAAATTCTATCTCATATAATTGATCGATACAGGCAAAACTTCATCTTCTATGTGACATTAAGTTTATTGAAGAGTTATTCAAATAAAGGAAAGGATGGGAAATTCAAACTTTAATAAGTACTCACTTTTACAGTTTCTTCTGTGTTAAGTTTATTTCCCTTAACCAAGATAATTTGGAAAGGATTATTATTTTCCCAAACATGCTATAAAAGAATAAAACACAAAGTATTTTATTGAAAGAAATGAATATTCTATACTAGCAATGAAATTGTCTTAACAGTTCTCAGGTCTATTAGCAAAATGAAAATACCTCTGAAATAACAATTGAACATCACATATATTAAATTAAGCATCATATACATTGGCACTTAGTTTTCATGGCAAAACATAAGCAAAATTCTACTATTGCTAAGAGATATCACTAAAACAATGAAGATAGAAATGAACAGTACTAAAAGTTTTGGATAAATTAATGATCCATTGTTTAAATTAACACAGGGATAATATCTTAATTCTCAAGGAATTAAGATACATACAATTTGCTGAGATTAAAGAACTATTATAAAATGTTAAATAACTTTTCCAATGAACACACACTTAGAATCTGTTTTACATTACATTCTGGAAAAGTAGTACCTTTGATATATTTACAGTCTATAGGACTCAATAACATGAAGAAAGGAAATTACATCAAAACCACTACTATGGTTAAGTTGATATATATGTACAAATAAATCAAATAATTCTGCACATCTAACTTTTCTACAAGTCCATCTCAACTTATTCACTGAAGTTCTGTGTTTAAAGTCTAATATTAAAAAAATCTCTAACTTGAGGGCATTTTTCTTTTGTCCAAGAGAACACCAAAACCACATGCGATATATTTATATTTTTACGTAACTTAACTAAATAAAAAGAGTAGCAGTTAGGTAATTTAAAAATAAATGGTAATGGATTTTCAGCTTCTGGTCTTAGCAGAAGAAGAAGTGAGGAAAGAAAGTATGTGTGAGGCTTAAGCATACATTCTAACAAAATCACATGCCTTTGGGTTTATCAAAGGTTCATCCATGAAACTTACAGAAATAATTCGCGTTTTCTTTGGTGGTAAAGGAAGAGGAAGGTTAGAGGAATTTCGGTTTATGGCAGCTTCTATTGCAATCATTTCCTGTTCATACATCTTCTTGATTTTGCAGCATTCCACTAGTATAAAATGAGGCAAGGTCCTGTTCATTACACAGTTCCGGATATACTACAGTGGCAAAAAAAAAAAATGTATTGTTTACACATTTATATATAGATTGTTGATCAAACATTTAAATCAATATAACAGTACAATTAGATTAAGTAACACTATATATTAAATTTGGGAGCTCTGGTAGCATAGTGCCTAAGGCACTTGACTACTAACCAGAAGGCTGACATTCAAACCTGCCAGACACTCCTGGGAAGGAAGGTTGGGCAATCTACTTCCGTAGTAATAGTGCCTCAGAAACCCAAGGAAGGGTGACTATGAATTGGATCCAACTTGACAGCACATAACAACAACAACATATATTAAATTCACTGTGAACATATATCTCACATAAACACCACATCAAGAATATGAGAATCTAAAATTACAACACAAAATAAAAACTCTTTGCCATCAAGTTTATCGAACTCATAGCAACCCTACAGGACAGAGAAGAATTACCCCATAGGGTTTTCAAAGCTATAATCTTTACAGAAACAGACTGCTACATCTTTCTCCCACAGAGTGGCTGGTGGGTTCCAACTGACAACCTTTGGGTTAGCAGCCAAGTGCTTAACCACTGTGTCAGAGGGTTTCTTGTAACATATAAAACAGCTACCATAAATGGAAGATCAGAGTAACTAAAAACTGAGCTAGCTCTTAAAGGCATAACACTTCTTTTTTTTTTTTTT